GCTATTCTTTTCCTCATAACATCCTTGAATTAATTTCTACCTCCTATTTCCCTCTACCCTTACATAAGTGCTGCCATCATCACTATAGCCACAAACATTTCCATTTCCATTTTCATCATCCGTGCCATCATATCAGTTCACACCTGATGCCACCACAACTGCTATTATCTGCCTCAATAACATCACCATCATCTGTATTGCTATGCTTAAAAGGATTCCTCTGCTTCCACTTGTCAACCCTGCTCACCTTCTTTTGTACAAGTAATTTTTTCAGCACTTGGGTGCACCCCCTAGTGAATAATAAACTAATATTTTCTGAAAAAATAAACTAATCATCATTGTATTCATGTTGTTGCTACCTCCTGGATTTTCATTATCTTCTTCAGCTTCGGAAGACTCCGTCACTCCCCTTTCACCTGTGTTATGTGCCACCGGTAACCATTTTTTGGAAGTAATGCTTCTATAGTCAAATCTTCAGGTTATTCATTTGTGTATTCTTGAGAAGATATATTTTAATCCTTTCTGACTGTATCTAATGGCATTCACAAAATAATAGTTTTTTATAATTGTAATAGGAACAAGGTTTCAAAGTATAGCTCTGTAAATTTGAGAATTGTGTCTGGGTAATATATCATGATGATTATGTAATGTATTCAGCTTGATGCTAGATGAAACCAATCATCTGTTTTTGTAGCACCGGATGCACAAATCAAAACGTTTTTTCATTCATTCTTTGTTGGTTAGGTCCTTTATGTGTGTTTTATATTATGAAAAAATTACAAGACACTGACGGGCTTTATGGATGTTTTCCTTCAGTTTCAGAAATGAAGTGGTAAGATTGTAACAGAAATTCATGCCTGTTGCTGTGGTTGCTATTTTTTATCCTTTTTCAATTGTCAGTTACATAGAAATAATTTTTCTTTTGCTCACTTATGAACTTTGATCAATTGTAGGTTTCTAAGACATTTGGAGATGGAAAAATGCTGCTAGAAGAATATGTTTTTTCTTTAAAAGCTGCAGTAGGGTTGAATGCTCTTGTAGAGGCAGTGGGTATTGGTAAGGGGAAGGAGGATCTTACTGGCATGGCTGTGGAGTGTATGAAGTCCAATCAAGTTCTTGCTGTCCGTCCAGAAATACCAATTGGGAAAGCATGCTCTAAACTTACTCCATTGGAAATTATTGAATTTTTAACAGGTGACTACCGGTTGAGCAAAGCCCGATCAAATGATCTCTTCTGGGAAGCTGTCTGGCCTCGTTTGCTTGCACGAGGTTGGCATTCTGAGCAGCCTAATAACCAAAGTTGTGCAGCTGGTTCCAAGCATTCTTTGGTCTTTCTTATCCCTGGTGTTAATAAGTTTTCCAAAAGGAAACTAGTGAAAGGAAACCACTATTTTGATTCTGTTACTGATGTCTTGAATAAAGTTGCTTCAGAACCAGGGCTTCTTGAACTTGAGTTTGGAGCAGATAAGGGAAACAATATCAAGGTAGAAAATGGGTTGGCTGATGAAACAAAACTGGGCCAAGACCTTCCTGATAAGAACCGCCACTATTATCTCAAGCCACGGATTTCAAACCGTGCTACAGATGCTATTAAGTTCACCATTGTGGATACAAGTTTGGTTAGTGAGGGAATATCCGGGGTGAGAGAATTCAGATCCTTACCTGTTGAAATGAATGCTTCACCTGCTAGAATTTATTCTATCAGTAGTAATGCCAGTTCTTCTGAGGAGTTATCAGACGAATCCGAGTCTGCCAATACCTTACCTTTTGATGGGGATAATACTGTTACTTCAAGGCCAACCATGATAGCTTTTGACAACGAAATCTCTTCTGACAGGAATGCTCCAAAACCGATTTATGCCCTTAATGGCCCAGATACTAATAACATGACTGTGAAAATACCAAAGGAGGGGGATAGGAACATGTGCAACAATATTCAGCCAAGAAAGGGTGTGAAAGATTCATGGCAGAGGACGAAACCTGACCATAAAAATCATTTAGCCCCTGTTGCCAAAAGACGTCGGAGATTAACTGCTTGTACTCGTGCTGAGACAGTCCGAAACACAGCAAAAGTCCTGGGCCCCAAAGTTGAAAAATATGAAACGAGTTGCTGTTCAAGTAAGTCAGATCTGAGTGCAAATGTCCTCTCCCAAGCGGATGCAAGTAATGCACCTGAAGACAAACTATCATCTGCCTGTTCTTCATCTAAAAGCAGCCCGGTCACTGAAAACGCAGGGACTTGTGTTAATATGTTTGTGGAACACCCTCTTCAGGAACATCAACCCCGGGAACTGATTGACCTAAACTTACCTGTCCCTCAGGACGAAATTGATGGACCCTTCATGATGGAAGTTACAGAAGAACAGCATGATCAAACAAGCAAGCAGCCAGAGGATCCCATCTGGCTAAAGGAACCCAATAATGTGACTAGCTCTGACCTCCAGTCCAACATGAATGGTCGCAGACAGAGCACAAGAAATAGACCTCCGACCACTAAAGCGCTTGAAGCGCATGCTTGTGGATTTCTTACTGTAAAGCAGAAGAGGAAGTGTAAGGATGGTTTGCCATCAGAACCAAGACCTTCCCGTCGTGCTCGTGTTAGAACTACCACTGCCGAGAACATTAGTGATGGAATTGTGGATTCCAAAGTGGAGGAAAAAGCAAATGGGGTGCATGAGAAGTGCTTGGCAAGCTTACAGTCTAATTCAAGTTGAAGTTTCTGTTATTATCTTTTATATTGGTTAATAACATTTACTAATTTTTCTTTGTGCTTTCTCTGAGCCAAATATTCTTGGCTATTGACCTTAAATAAAAAAAAAAATTTCTTGGCTGTCACTTACATCTGGTTTTCTTGGATTTGTTTCTGCTTTTGGACGAGTATTCATATCTTGCTATTATATATGTTAACAATTCTCAAATTTGTTAACTTCCTAAGTAAACTTAGGCTCCATTTGGTTCACCGAAAATGATTTGATGGAGGTCATTTCCCCTATTTTCTTATTTTTTATTGGAGAAAAGGAAAATCAACTGAAAGATCTTTTTTCAGTTAAAAGAAAATAATGCAAAGAAAAAAACGAGAAAACAACCTCTTAAGACAAAGCAGTTGTTGTCCTTTGACTGTACAAACTGTGTGTATGCATTTTTATCCAAAAACCAAGGATTACAGTTTGGAAAAAGAAGTTGTCGTTTGACATAAAGTAACTTGATTACAGAGCCTTAGTTTTTGGATTAGTTACTTATATGCACATATATTTGCTGAGAAGGCCAATATGAAATACAATTTCCCTTTGCCTGGGTAGAGTCGTCAAACATAATTCAAAGAAATACATTTCCTTAAATAGGATAAGTAAAAGGGTAACAAGTGCTGCCCTGTTTCAACTGTTGTAGATAGATCGTGCTCCTTGAATGCTAGAGAACACAAATATCTATAGCTTTTTCAAGATTATAATAAGGTCGTTTATTGTATTTGAGATTATAGGTCGTATCAAGTTCTGTCATTTTTTTGAATGTTAAATGTTACTGTTTACACTAAAATGTCAGAGCCCCATTACAGGTTCTGTCCCGTCTTACTCCTTTTGAAAGGGGAATATACGAGGATTATGTGGCCAACTTTTGGTGCACCACATCTGTATTTATAAAATGGAAGAGATTATTTACAACACAATCATTAAAGTCTCTCAGCTTAGCTGCAGCTCTTTTTACTTGCTTACATTCAATGGTTCAGCAAGTACGCGCCCCAGCAGCGAAGGTTTCCTCTATGCATTGCTAAATAGTTCTTTTGCATTCTACTTGTTTTCGTTCCAAGGTATGTTCAACTTTTTCTTTCATTTGGCAATTTAGTTTTCTTGTGCTTTAACATTTTTTAAACTATATATATATGCAGTTCACGAGAAGTCAATTCTGCTGTCTCTTCTCCCTGCAAGCCTGCTGGCCCTTAAAATGCCTGATCCTTTCAGTTGGTTAACACATTATGCTCTATTCTCTATATTTCCTCTTCTTTGTTGCAACAAGCTGGTGCTGCCATATGTTGCCATAAGTGCACAGTTTTTTTCTTTTCCTTCATGCACCCTGTGGACTTCGTGGAAGATTCAATACAAAAGATACCTGTTTTCCTAGCAGCACTTTCCCTACTCCCCTTTCTATTTTAATTTGCATTATTTATTTTTGCTTCCTCATTCTTCATGTTATTTACTTAAAAGTGCAGCTTCCAAGAAAGCATCCTTTCCTCTTTGAAGCAGTGATCATGCTTCTCTGCTTCTCTTACTTCGTGTTATTTACTCTGTATGCCAATTTGAAGAAATGGATGTTGTCAAGACAGTCAACATCAGGGGATACAGAAAAGAAAACGCTGTGATTCTTGTTTCTACTACTAGGCTTATCCCTAGGTTCTTCCTTTTAACTCTTTTTTTTCAATACAAAAAAAAACAGAAATTAGATATGATGGGGGCTGCTAAATGTGTAAGAGCATGCCATTTTATAGTGAAGAGAGCCTCCCGGGACTAAGAAGCATTTTAATTTGTCCAATGAAAACGAAGGGACTCGTGTTAATATTTTTGTTGAACACCCTCTTCAAGAACATCAACCCCGGGAACTGATTGACCTTAACTTACATGTCCCTCAGGACAAAACTGATAGACCCTTCATGAAGGAAGTTACAGAAGAACAGCATGATCAAACATGCAAGCAGCAAGAGGATCCCATCTGGCTAAAGGAACCCAATAATGTGACTTGCTCTGACCTCTAGTCCAACGTGAATGTTCGCAGACAGATCACAAGAAATAGACCTCTGACTACTAAAGCGCTTGAAGCCCCTGCTTGTGGATTTCTTACTGTAAAGCAGAAGTGTAAGGATGGTTTGCCATCAGAACCAAGACCTTCCCGTCATGCTCGTGTTAGACCTACCACTGCTGAGAACATTAGTGATGGAATTGTGGATTCCAAAGCAGAGGAAAAAGTTAATAGGGTGCATGATAGTAACGGAGAAGTGCTCAGCAAGCTTACAGTCTAATTCAACTTGAAGTTGGTTGATTGTTCATTTGTTGACGTGACAAAAATCGAACTTCCAGCAGTCTTTCATCTGTTTTCTCTGGAAGACTCTGGCATTGCATGTATGATTCCAGATGCATGAATCAGAGATGATTATGCTGGTATTGAATACTCAAAGAAGCTGAGGAACCGCCATTGAAGGTATCAACAAAAAGTTAATCGAGAACTAAACCTAATTAATTTTGATTTACCATTATATTTAACTAAAAACTTGTATCTATTTCATTTTCTTTCGACTTCACCTTGCAGTGGTTATCCATAATTGCTTGTCCGGTAACTGGAGTTTGGCCTGGAAAACCGGCCGGAGCACCAAACTCGAGTCACTGTTAAAATTCAGACTCCTCCTGGTACTTTTACCATCTGATCAAGTTACCTACAGTCACGGAAGTCTGTTCTACAAGTGAGTCCATAACAGTCTAGTTTAGACTGATTCAAGTATAGGTCTTGTTTCTGTTTGTATTGTAAATCTGGAACTTGTCTCTGCTGGTTAATAAACAGTGTAAGAGGGAAACTTCAAACAGAAAATGTAGAAGGGAAAAAAAGCTTTGGCGGTCTGTTCAAAAGGTAAGCATAAATAAACTTTTCAGTGTTTATCAAATGTTTTAAAGACTGGTTTTCTATGGGTTAGCTCTACATGCTCTTTGCTTTGCTTTGGTATCTCTAATGCTCATGAATTGATAAATTAACTTCAATAAATCAGTGTTAGCTTGTAAACTAGGTTTTGATTCTTCCCAAATGAGACAAGGATGATTTCTTTTTTTCCGTAAATTTTTAGTCTTAGTATAAGTAATTTACTTTTAATTAGAATAGGAGGAGATTCAGTTTGATACGTGAGACTTAACTTGAGAATATTCTAACTGTTAAATTAAATTTTTTAAATATAATTATTTATTATATTATTATTTTAATAATTTATTATTATTATTTATAATATATTAAATATTTATATAATATTTTATTTAAGAATTAATTAATTCATAGATATTAAATTTCTTTTTTCCTAAAATAATAAATTCAAATGTTAAAAGAGCATCACTAAATATAGAGGCTTCTATTAATGGAAAGTGTAGCTAGGATTGGTAAACAAAAAAAAGTGTCACCAATTTTGGATTTATTTATATATTTTAGTTTAGAAAATTTTAAAAATAAAACTAAATCAATGATTGAATGTATTTTGTTTTATTTTATAAATTTAGTGGGTAATTAAGAATATTTTTAATTGCAAACAAAAATTTAATTTTTTCATTCATATATAATACACACATAATGTAATTTTTTATTACACATATTCATCTTGTATTGATGTATACAAATTTTAAATATAATAATTTTTGTATAATTTTAAATATTATTTAAAAATTATTTTTTATCGTATTATAATTGGTATTTATGTATTATATAATTTATGAATTTCAAATTTTTTTATATAAAAATTCAAAATAATTTTCTTAACAAAATATTTGATAGAAGACTATTTAATTTAAAATTTTGATTAGAGAATTTAAAATATAAAGAAAAAAATTTATTTGGAATTAAGGGGTGAACAAACTGTAATCCAAGTAACTATCCACGTGGCAACGTAAGGCTTCAAGTGTGACCTAAAAACTGTCGCGTGTCCTCCACACGCACGGCTTCCGTTAGTTCAGCAGCTACCCTCTCTATCAACTTTACGAATTCCAATTCATTCTCTATAAGCAAACACTTCGACACTTTCAATCAGAGAGAAGGACTGAAGGAGGAGACTTGTCTGTATGAATTTGTCCTTAACCCTATTCCTTTCTCGCATTGATTTGCTTGGAGAAGTGAAAAAGAATATCTGAGGGGAAAAGGAGAGTCGAAAAAATGGGTCAGGCATTTCGTCGAGCAGCTGGAAGAATCAGAGGCCCAGGTGGTGTGGAGCAGACTCCACCATTAAAATCCAAGACTGCCGTCGATCGGACCCCTGTCGCGGAACCTACCGGCCCCGTTCGAATCACGAGGGTATCAAAACCCAATGTTGATCCTGCTGGTAAACCCCACTCTCCCTTCTTCAAGTTTCCCGAGTTTCTTTTTCCCTCGTTTCTTGTATGGTTATTAGCCAAGTCATTCTAGTCCAAAATGAAAGATTTTTTATGTTGATTTTGGTTTCAATCAAAATGGGTATCAGTGAAACTCATGAATTATTAGCGGGTACTGTTTTATTTGCCGTATAAACTGGCTCGAAATCCCAATCACGCACCTCCGTTGTACATGGTTTACTAGTTGAACTCGGTTGATGGGAATGTGAGAGTGATCTCTTAGAAGTATTGTGATTGTGATTGTGATTGTGATTGCAAGATGGAGACTCGAGACTTAATGCTGAGAATGTACTGGAAGAACGTGATCCGCAGTATGATGCAATGCTTACACAAATGTTGGGTAGGGTTAGAACAAAGCCCGGAGGGAAAGCTGAGATGGGTGAGGTGAGTTGCTTCGTGTTGTTTGCCTTCTCTTCTTAGGTTATTTTTGAATGAAATCAACAACTTGTGCTCGGAATTCCGTAGTTAGGCTATGTTTGTAGATATTACTTTTCATTTCACACTTAGTTTAACTAAAAAAAAGTGGATAAAATACTCTATAAATTTCTTAAAAAATTGACCTTTATCTAAAATTAGAATAATATATTCCAAGTTTTTTCTTTCAAAAGAATACGTACTTTTCATTTGAAATATATTATTTTAGTTGTGCATCAAATTTCATAGAAGGTCAAATTCTTATGTTCTTATTGGCATATTCTTCTAGTTGAACTGAAATGCGAATTTCTATATTGATTTTCAAATATAGCCTTAGTTTAACTATATATTGATTTTCAAATGAATCAAACAACAAAATTCTTAATTTCTTCTGAACATGGCCTTAATCTTTGCTTGATACTTGCAGTGATAACTACAGCTGGTTAGACTAATTGGGGAGAACAAATATCAGTTTGCTGTTATATTCATTTCACTGTGAATATTTTTCAGTAGGGTTTACTTGCCCTGAATAGGATGATGAATTTTGACATGCTTCTTGATTGGCAACAATCATTTGGATGCAAGGAGGGCCTTTGGATGTTTTGGTTTTTCAAAATTTGCAAAATATTAACTACAGGTATATCATGAAGAACTATTACTTCAAAATATGCAGAGGTGGCGAAGAATTGCCTGCTGAAAAATTGTTGTCTTGACTGGTTCTTCAGCATCAATGTTCTCAAAAATTTTGTCAGTCTGTGGAATGAGTTCTTATCAACCCTCACTCAAACATAATTTTCTCAATGGGGATAAACTAACTAATACTGACAAGTCAATGTGCTTTATTTTCACACAAGACTTGCCCCCCTTAGTTAGGGATTGAGAGCGGTAAGCTTTTTCTTCATGTTTCTGCATACTTGACGTGTAGCTTGCAGAATGCATTGCTTCAAGTAGTCAAGGGAATGATTGGATACCTAGAAATATTTGGGCAGCATTTTTCTCTAATACCTTGATGTTGGTCTATAAATTTCTAACTCTGCATTACAGGCATTTGTGGTGGAAAAGCAAAATAGGCCCATGCCAAAGCTGCGAAATACAAAACCAGATTCTTGGAGGTTCGAAGAAAGACCTGCTCCTCCAGGAACCTTAAACGTAGTACAGCTGCGCCACATTATGCTTCTGTACCAGGGCAAGGCTGATGATCACAATGGGCCTATGGATGTTCACCAGATTGCAGAGAAGTTCCGAATTGACGAAGCTCAGGTTCAGAGGATCGTGCAGTTTCTCTCATTACCTCCTGAGGACAGCGCTAAACAGGACAAACTTCAATGAGAATTACTGACTTACACTTGCTCCTTGAATTACAAAAGGGATTTTCCTATTGAATAAAGGCATGGTTCCACAAACAAATTTGGAGACTTGTGGAAGTTGCATTAGCTGCCAAAATGGTCAGTTCCCTTTAATCATACAGGGTTTATATTACTGGGTGTGCCTGCAGGTTGTCTCAAAAGGAGTTATTTTGTGTAACGGGTATAAACTGATATGGTATCGACTTTTATTATTAGAAGAAAAAAGTAGAGTAACCAGTAAAATTCAATCGGTTATTTATAAGTTCATAAACATATAATGAAGAGTGATATCACATCAATGTATACTAATTGTACAAAATAAGTTCTTATCCAAATTTTGTACAATAATATCGGTGGAACATCGTGGTTAAAGCATAAAACTTTCCCCAGTTTTCTAAACTGTGAAATGTGAAGCTCTTTGGTCTAACTCCTTGCTTTGGAAATGCGATTTTGCTTACCCGTGAATGAATTATTGAATATCTGGTGTCTTACCAATGTTCCAGCAGTCCATTCACTGTGCATTTTGATGCATAATTTTAAGTTCAAAAGATTATGGTGGTTTACAATTTTCATGTTTCCTTTACGTGACATTCGTGTGAATTTGATATTAAAAAAAAAAAAAAACACTATATCCTCATCTATTGTCATGTCAGCCCCACATGGCCATTGGCATGACGATGATTTACCGAAAAAATAATAATGTTTAGATTTATTTGAAAAAATATTGAACAGTATAAAAAATAATTTAAAGAAAAACAAATGGAGATTTAAATAAATAATTTAAGTTCTGAATCTAAAAAAAAAAAAAGAATGTTAAATCTAACATTAAATAGTTAAAAGATTAGTTAGTGCCTAATAATAGGAGAAAGTTGAAGGTTGTGAAACATTAACTAATATCTTTAAGAGAAGAAAACTAAATCACAAAGAACAAAGCAACAATCTTTGCTCAGCCTTTAACTAATATCTTAAAGTTACTCTGTAATACTCCAACTAGTCTTCTTATTTTTTACCACTTACAAAATTGAAAAAAAAAAATTAATAATTATGCACAAAAAAACAAGATTTAGTTCAAAAATGGGAATGCCATGAATCCTGACCTGTTGGGAAGTTGTAAAAGAGCGGCTTAAAACCTACCGAAGAGAAAAACTTTCTACTTTCTAGCCAAGACCCAGATGCCAACAACCAAAATGTCATACCCATTAAACACTCACGTTTGCTTACAATTTCTTTTCACTGCCACATCACTTGACCATTTGTGGTATAATCCAATAACACAATCCCAATAATCCATATCAGTTTTTCGGATTTATCAGTTCAGACGTCTGAGAGATTGACTTTTGTATATGAGAACAAGATTACTCTCCAATTTGACCAAAAACAAATCATTCACGTCAGACCAAAAACAAATTATAAATTTGGAAGCAGCAAACATGGAAAAAGAACATACTATCATTTTTATAAATTAGGACGTAGCTACAAAGTTTTAATAATCTATAACTAGGAACTATAGCCTTGAGTGTAGATATTATCCATTATGAGGACGTACAAGTGAAAAATACCAACTCTTTTCTTTCCCACGATGAGGGCTTTATAAACGTAGAAGCAAAAAGAATGATGTTATCCAAACATATTTTGAACCTAATAAAGAATAAATATTCAGGTCAGATTCAAGTTAAAATTGATTCTAACCAGTCTGATGTAAGCTCATATGCCACAAATGTTACAGCACCAGCAGGTGCAGCTTTGACAGTTGACGGGACAATTCCTTTGTATAGACCAGCCCAACCCTCAGATTGCAAGATTCGGCGTAGGGCATCAAACATATTTCTGTAAGCCCGATGTTCCACTCGGGCTCCATATCTTGGATGCCTCTGTAGACCTTCAATCTACAATAGCCAAACACAACAATCTCATATGACCCAAGTTCAACTCAAGGTAGATAACTAAAAATTGCCATACGGGATTTTGATTTCCAGCCCAAGTCAATTACTAAGTACATGATTGCTATGTACTTACTAAATTGTTATCAGTTAAAGACAAATGCTCTCTATCACCCATGTTTGAGTCAAGGTAGAGAACTGAAAATTGCCTTAAAAAATTTCTTTTGTGCATTTTTTGCTCCATTTGACTGAGATGCAACATCTTGAACACTAGTTTTGGTAACAATTTTTGTTAACATATAGCAATCATTTATTTACTGATCGAAGTGTGCCACGAAAACACAATTCAAGAATGTAGAAACCTACCTGGAACCTTTTCTTGACTACATCGAGTGGATGGCAGACAAGTTTGGCACATGTGCCGGCTGCTAACCCACAGATGAAAAGCTGAAAACTTGAGAGGCTATCATCTGTACTGGCTAAGCTGGTGGAGGAGGAGCTGAACCGATTCCAGGCCTAGAGCAGAATTTATCAAATTAAAAAGCAAAAAGTAAAACAAAGGTCACAGTATGACAAACTGAAGAAATTAACTAGAAAAAAATAATATAGGTTTTGTTAACTATTCTTATTTTTTATTTTCCACATATTTATGTACAAAAATATTTGTCGTCGAAAGTTTTTCTAAAAATAGGTTTCAAAAATGATAGTAAAAATATGATGAGTTTGAAAATAAAAAGTTATTTACAAACTTGAGTCTTATTTTTGTATGATCTCCCAAATCTTAATTTCATTTTCAACAACCAGATATGTTTTATGTATAAACAAGCAAAAACCGAGAAAGTATTTCATGTAGCAAAGGGAGGCATTATATTTTGAAAAATCTGCCACAAAAGTACCTGGTCTGAATATTTCCAAGAAGAAATGTGTATCCCAGCAGTGTAAAACAATAGAGTGCAAGAAACAAGAAATGCTCCAAGAGACCTTACTGAACCATAGCATCAACGTTCTACATTAGATATCAAGAGACTTGACTTAACGTTATTAAGTTTCCAACTAGTCACTTAATGGTCCCACCACGTACAGTATAATCTCATCATTCCTTAAGAGGGTAGTAAGACTAAGGATGATCAGTAGACTTAGAGAAGAACAGATCAAAAGAGAAAAAGAAAGTTAAAGCTTACCATTGTCCAACGTTTAAACGTGTCATATGTGCCAAATTGTAAGCCAGCATATGGGACAATCTCAACTAGCGTTGGTGACAATCCAGAATATAACCCCCTGAAGCCACGAGTTCTTATTATATCGAGAAATGCAGACGACATGGTTGGATACACCTAGATAAAGCCCATAATCAGCCAAGCTATGCTAAAATTCGAATTGCTTTCAACATACCAAAACGTTTGAAAGATAACAACTAAAATGACAAGCTTAACTTCTGAAATTAAGATAATCAATCAAAGTGCATTTCTAAGTATTGTCAACCAATATAAGAACACCAAAAAAAGACAATTTTAAGTTTACAGGGAAAATAAGAATTTGTTTGGGAGGGGAGAAAAAGAAAAAAAGGGAGAAAATACAATGGTGGCAATTTGGTCCTTAGTGGAAATTATTTTTCTCATAAGCCATTCTTGATCTACACACTGCCAAATGAATCTAAAAGTGAAGATAACTTTCAGCATATCCACAACGTAAAATGTAATCTCATTCACAGTAAAACAAGAAACTCATGCTATGCCTAATAAAAACTGAAACATAATATCAGAGATGAGAAGTATTAATTCTTACAGTCATACAAATTGCTATGCAAGTCGAAAATATAAAGAATAAAAATTCCAAAAAGGTGAAGTTGTCTATTATTTTACTTATAAGGCTTAATTCCTCTCTCAAGAAAAAACAACTTAGAAGCCTTAAATACCTAGAAATTCTTTAAGATGTTAAAACCATCAATATAATGTCTTCACAATTTCGTAGTACTTTAATTAAATGGTACACCTTAGGCTCCCCCTGTGAGGCTAAAATGGTTCGTAGAAGATCAAATGGATACGATCCAACAGTAGCTGCACACCCAGCTAATGCCCCACTGATGTATGACAGATAAGGACTCAAATTAATGTGATCCTCTGCATCACAAAAAAGAATCAGTCCATTCCACGCAACAAAGTGAGAAACCATATAAGATTATATCTGATCAATAACAAAATTTAGAGATTTAAAGTCTCAATAAGGTCACAGACTTAGCAGACTTTGGATGGATTAGTACAGTCACAGAAATAGAAATGTTACTGAAGAATACTACTACAGTTATTAGGTAAAAATGAGTTAAAAATTTCCTGTTTTAAAATGGAGAAGTTTTATATGACATAACATACCTGCTTTCTGAGAACCAGATGCAAATGTTTTCAATTTATGTAAGACAGCAAATTGTATGGCAGTATAAGGCATAACCATAAGTAAAGCTGGGACATTGCCACGCCAAAAACCCTGTCATAAGAGAAATTAACTTGTCATGAGTCTTGCAAAACCTTACAATATTACAATCATTTAACTGATCTGATGAAAACAGTATTAGAGTATTCCAACATCTGCCATCAGACTTTAGAACATAGACCATAATATTATCTGGTTACCGCTAATTTAGCTACTGGGAATTAGGTGTGAGGACTACCAATTCCAGATTACATTTCAGGGGAACTACAGAGAAAAGCAACATCGCACTTATCCAAGGTCTATCACAATAAATGACGAGTAAGTAACAAAAATGATGTTTACAAGTGCAAAAGTTCACGCTCGATATGTATTAGATTTCAACCACAAGCTTCTTAATAAAAGCAGAAGTATTAAAAATATAAATCGCAGGGCACTGCCACTCATATATAAAAACACATAGGGTTTACATATAAGAGAGACTAATCTAGAAAGAATGTGACCATGAACTAAAAATGCAGGAGAAAACCAGCTATTTCTAATTCCTATAAGAGAGACTAATCTCCTGCCAAAGCTTTGTTGTTCCTCTCCTTTCAGACACTCCAAAATGAGTTCAAAAACCATGCTCCTTCAAGTCTTAAATCAGAACCATGAATTAACAATCTTAAAATTTACCAATCAAGCACTAATTACCAAAAAATAATAAGTGTAAATTTAACAGGCTCTTCACACAAATCATTGATCAAGACACGTAAAAATGCTAAAAATACCTTCAGATCATCAAAGATTGCAAGTGTTGAGTGACATACCGTTAAACCTTCCTCTCTAAATATATTCTTTGTTGCTTGAAACATTCCAGTATATTTTGATGGTCCAGACAAATTTCTTTGAAGCAAAGCCCATGAAGAAGTGGGCTCTAATTGAACCTGCCATAACACAGAGTAATGATTTTCTTAAGCTTGCCAGTGGCTCCAATAATTTAAACAGGAACTAAACAAATGCTAGCATTCACCTAAAAGAGTTTTCTCAACCACCAAGAGTTATTTAAGTGATGGTAGAACAACAAGTAAGAAGGTTTTGGAAACAAGTTCTAGATGCTTTCTGGTGTTGTTCATTTTAAATGCAGCCTCTAACATCAATCAAGAATGGAACCCAAGGCAGTTTCAAACTCAAAACAGGCACTTAAAGAGTGCAGAGCAGGCATTTAAAAAAAATGCTGCAATCAAGATTCTAGCCTGTTAAAGATATATAAAATCCATATGGAGCGTATGGACTCTGAATCAACTCAAAAACTCTAGGCTTAATAAAATGGTGCAACCCTAAATTTAGACCTGAGACTAGCTTCTTTTGCCAACTCTTGATTCATGAGACTTCTGGTAGGAATCAATAAATCGTCATTCTTATGTTGCGACTATTTGCATTGCTATTTTGAGAACATATTTTATAATAAATTACTATATATATATATACGAAAAAAAAAATCTCCCAGGAGTTCTCATATTTCCTCAACTTAATTCAATTAAAGACTAGAACGTTCGCTCAGATAACTGGGGATGCGAAAAATTAAAAAGTAATTTTACCTGAAACCTGATCTTAATGACATCGAGGGGCGAGGTTACTGTTCGTGAAATAGCGCCAGCAACTGCGCCGGCCGTAGCATTGATCACCGCACTTTTTAGCTGTCCAGGCTCTTCCATCGTCCAAGAATCCCTCTCCTATTATCTACCTAACTGAGCCAAAAGTCAAAAAAAATGACTCACGACAAAATTATCACAATCATCATCTAGAACTATATATGACCTACATATACGCGGAAGCGGAAGCTCGAGAGCCAGAATTTGAAGAAAAAGAAGAAAGACAATGTAGTAAAGGTAACCAATGAAAAGAAAGAGAAACCGACGCTAAATAGGAAAAGCTCCAGATATTTAGGGTTTCACAATATATTTGTGAAAACGATACAGTTAGCTTTTCCAAAAAAAAAAAAAAAAAAGCAAACAGTTCAAGAAGCACAAATACTTAAACTCCGACAGCGGCTACCTCGAAATAGTTAAGAATCGGAAAATAATTGCGGCCGCCATTGAATTTGTGTTGAAGAACAGAAGAAAAATTTTTATATTTTGCCGCGTATTTTGAATTGGATTTCAGAACGACGACTTGTTTGACAATTAAGCGAGAAATTTGAGACGGGAAGAAGAATTTTGCTTTGCAGAATCAAAATTATATTTCCGTTTTCGTTAACTCTCCAATCTGCTTCTCAGAAAGGAAAAAAGAATAATATAATCAAAAAGTAAAATTACATAAAGCTCCTTCCATTCGCATACAACAGCTTGCAGGGATAAAATAAAATTTTCTAATTTTCAATTATTTATTTATTTATTTGATAAGCAATTTTCATGTTAATTATATTTGTTGTTTTTTAATTTTATTAATTATAAAATATGAATAATAAATAAAAATGTAATTATGGAATATCTTTGGATTAATTTATTTAATTTTTAATTTTTAATCTCTTTTTGCCTATTTTATTCTTTAATTGATTTACTTTATTTTTTAATTAAGGAATAAAATTAAAGTGGTTGTCAGTGATTATTCCTTTTTAAAAGATTGATTCATGCTGTAATTTAAAATTGAAAAAACGTAAAATATATTTAGTTTAATTGAACATTATAAAAAATTTAATAAAATGAAAAATTAATATTCTACAAAAGTCTACATAAAATTAAAATAATACAGTATAACTTTATCAAAATTAAATTGTTTAAATTCTACGTAAAGTTATATATTATATTAAATTTTATTCTCTTAATAAATAAGTGTATTTTACAAATAAAATATTTATGATAATTTTTTTTATTTATTCTAAAATATAAAAGGAGTGTATGTCTCCCAATTATTTATATACGGTACTGTGGTTTGGGTGCATTGAAAATTTTCTACCATGAAATAAGGTATGAGTATCCATTGAAGAAGTGGGTATGTATAATATTTTTCAATATATATATATATATATATGTATAGTGTTTTAATGATAATTGTTTTTGGTATGACAAACTAGGGACGGCTTGCAAACAAGTGGGTATGTATTGACCTTTGGAATTGGGTTAGAGTCGTCATGCTTACATTCCATAGTGCAGAAATCATAATCAAAATAGCAATTCCACTAAGAAATACAAGCCAAGGCGTCCTTGCCATGAGTTCTCTCTCTCTCTCTCTCCCTCTCTTTATGAGTTTGTCTTCTTCCTTCTAGAGCTATCAATCTTATCTTTGCCTTAGCTTAGCTATTATTGTTAGTCCTTAGTTTCACTTCTATCTTTTATGAATTCTCTTTTCAAGATTTTTTTTTTTTTTTACTCGTTAATTCTCTTTTTTATGTTTTCCTTCCTTAATCAACTTTCTCGACTAGTCTTCTATTATTATTATTTTTTTTTTTTGGCTTTCTAACTACCTGTAAAATTATTAAAGAAGTTAATAGTCGTCATGCAATTTCTCCATTATAATTTACATGTTATTTTAAAGGACAGTATATATTTATAGTATAATTAAGAACTCGATTAACCATATATAATGTTATACTTAAAAGATTAAAAACAATCAACAATTTTAATCAACATACATCAGGAACTATTTGGAATTAAGGGAACTACTTCATTTCAAGAAACCCCTCTATTGCTCAACAAAAAAAACAGATAGCAAGATTTAGTATCTCGAAAACTTATTCCTTTTCAAACTACTTATGCAAATGTTAAGTGAAATATAGACAATATATAAAAACATTTGAATTTAAAAGGAGCTCTCATCATTTTTAAAGATTGTCATCAAAATATATTACTAAAATTAATTTCTATTAGACATTCTTTTATATCATAATTATGGAGTTATATTTGAGATTATTTAATAAAAATAACATATTGAATATTACTAGCACAATCAGTTAGATAATAGAAGTTGATTTTGTTATAAATGGTTATACTTAGGTAAACTACACTTGAGTCCAAGTGTCTTACAAATTGATAAACTCTTAGTATTGAGAATATTTTTAGTCAAAACTCAAAACTTCCAGCACTGAATTCAATTTAAAAATGAGTTTGCCTTATTACTAAGGAGAGTTTGACCATGAAGTGAAGGAATGTAGCAAAGAAAGAATTTCTATTATTAAAACCTCACAAGGGCAATGGTTTAAGCCATATTACCAATGGCTTAAAATTGATATGAATGTTGTTCTCTCAAATTTGTTGACCGAATGAGAAAAATATGACAAAATCTTAATCAGGATCTTGGCCACATATCCATAGTAAAAAAAAAAAGTTCATTTGTTATAGAGTAAGTGACTTGGTATTAGGGACTATTCATCTATAATGCAAAAACCATTATGTCAAGACAAGTGCAAGGCAGTAATGATTGTCTACAGCTACCACTAATTAAGGAAGCAGCAGATCATGATGACCAAAATAACTCATCGAAATCCATCAAAATATATCACAAGACCACTAAATTTCAAGACAAAGTGGATATTGATCACAATTGTAGCCCTAAAATTAATATTAATTATCCACTAATAAAAGATGCATTATCGTAATAACACAATGTTGCCACTATACCAATTTTCAAATATTCGTAGGGTCATGGTTTTGAAGATCAAGGCCACATTAGTACTGTTGTTTGCCATTTAAAAGGTAAAAGACTAACAATTATCAATAACTTTAAAGTGCAGCAAATATTAAAGAAACAAGCTGGTCTCTATGAAAGTATACCTACTAAATTTATAGGTTTTAACTATTATAAAACCTTATAAATTACTAGTTCAAGTTCTTTCACCAAGTGTTAGTCCCATAATTTCTTTAAAAATAATAGTTCGTATGATAAAGAATGTTAAGACCAGTACTAATGTTACTCATCAGTATTTTTTAGAAAATTCAAAGGATGCGATAAGGAAAGAACAATTGCCTCATTTAGACTCATGAATATCATTCCATCCTCTTGTACAGGCCTTAGCTAGACCTCTATATTATTGAGTCTCAATGCCTTAATAAATAAATCTTCTCCCTCCATTTTTGTTTGTCTGAAACCAGAATGTAAAAAGCTAGTTTAGAAATATACATTGCATTAGCTTAGATTTAGCATTTTGTAAATTGTGAGCCTGAATGGACTAAAGGTGACTTATGTCTTGTGTGAGCCTCAACTATCAGCATTGAACCAACCTTGATTTGCTCATGTAATTTTTAATTAGGATTGACAGTCTTTACAGTTCTTTACTAAAATTTATGAGCCTTCAAATTCTCAAGTAAAATATCATTTCGTTCAAAAGATTTTGAATATGGGTTAAGACATGTAAAAACCCTCGGAGCTACTTGGTGATTTCATTTTAACACTTGAGGTGAAGGAAATGAATTATTTTAGAGAAAGTAATCTATATTTTTAAGTATTTTGTCTAATATAATGAACTTATTAGGCCTTATTTATTTGGATTTTAATGATAAATCTTTCACTTAAACTAATAAACTAGTCGACTTAGTTAACAAAAGAGCTTACCTTGATTGAGGATTTATAACGACCTAGAAGTAAAAAATAAATAAATTATAAATTGAATGTGAAAGCGAAATAATAGCATTAGGGTTTACATTCATTACACAATAATTCAGAATACCCAATAGAGTTACGAGAATGACCCTTATACAAGAACAACGAAAAATTAGAGAAATAAATGGAAAGTAAACAATTGAACATTCTATTCGCAACCATCTTATGGATCGGGATCTAGATCTTGGTTCTCTTGATCTGAAATGATTAATGAAAGAGTGAGCTACACTACCCAACTAAGAATGTCACACTACTCACCGATACATAAATGAAGGTTGGTAAAAATCATAAAAATAATTAATGAAGCTCTTAATTCAAGTAAATTTATTTATCATAAATAAAATCATTTATTGTACACTTAGCATAGCGAAATTTTCAAAATTCACCTATAGAGTCAATAACACAACAATATCATAATATCATTTTCAATTAATCTAAACAATAATTTTCCTTTTTAACTAGCCTACTGGTATCTATGGGGGTCCATAAGGAGGTCTCCACTACGCGTGAACCCTTATTCAACATTGTCAATTAACCGGTCGTCCTCATACTCCGTCCGGTATGAGTGCCAAAAATATCATCCCTCAATACCCCGTTCGGCATGAGGGTGAGACGGGTCGTCCCCATACCCTATCCGGCATGAGGGTGAGACATGTCGCCATGCTGGAATTCCGCAATTGGTCAAAAAAAAAAAATTTAACACCGATTTTAGATTTTTTAGAGTATTTCTAGGTACTTGAAGTGTGTTTTATATCCAAAAAAAATTCAGGAACCTGGGGACCACTC